TGTTTTTCACTTTGAATCACTAGTTGTCCTGCTCAAATTATATTCTCTCATAAAAATCTCTTTACTTTGTAGTTAATATGGGCTAAGGTATTCTGTGATTTCTTCTCAATGCTTTAATAAAACAACATCTCACCAAGCACCATGGCTCATATGTGTAATCCCAGCTACTGGGGAGGTGGAGATTTGGAAGATCAGCCTGAGGCCAGCACTGGCAGAAAATCGGAGATCCTACCTGAAAAATAACTAAAGCAAAAAGGGCTTGGGGCATGACTGAAGTGGTACAGCACCTCCTTAGCAACTCAGGGCCCTGAGTTTAAACCCCAGTACCAAAAAAACAAACAAATAAAAAACTAATTTTGTTTTAAAAAATGTACATAAAAGTATATGTTAACATTTATTGAGTGCTCACTAGATTTAGGAGCCCAGCTTGGTACTTCAAATACATTATTCATTTAATCCCCAGTAGTCCAGTTCATAGATAGCATCTGTTTTGCAGGTGAATGAACTGGGGTATCAAGGTCATACGGCTGATAACAGAAACCAGACCCAAACCATGTTTGATACCAGCACTGAGCTATGAAACTATATCCTTGCCACATGTGTATAAAGATAGTAATGTGAACCAGGTGTGCCTGTTATCATAGCTATGTGGGAGGTGGAAATTAGGTGAACTGACTTTCAAGGCTAGCCTGGGCAAAAAGTTCAAGAGATCCCATCTCAGCCAATAAAACGCAATCACGTGGTGCTTTGTGCCTGTTATCCCAGCTACTCAGAAAGCATAAATAGCAAGACTGAGGTCCAGGCCAACCCAAGTGTAAATGCAAGACCCTATTTCAAGCATAAAAGCAAAATGGGCTTGCAGCGTGTCTCAAGGGGTAGAGCACCTGCCTCGCCCGCTTGAGGTCCTGAGTTCAAACCCTAGTATTCCCCTCCCCTACCCCAAATAAAAGTGAGAGATACTGAAAATGTTCACATGGATACTTCTGGGCATATGGGATTATGAATAGTTTTTACTTTTTTCTCTTCATAACTTTACGCCTAGTTTAACTCACCATAAGCATGACTTGTTTTTATTTTTATGTTAAAATGATACATGGACTTGGATTACAAATTAAATTGAGCTGGAAAGCTCAAAGCTAAGGCTGCATTCTTCACCTACCCCATCTCAAAGGCATCTGCTTTCAAATATTCTAACTGTCTGACACTTACCTTCACATTACTAACAAGTACACTTAGACTTCTCCTTTATGATCATCAATTATAACACGTTAACTTTTGAATTCTTCTTATGATAGATAAGAATTGATTTTGATGAATTTACATGTAAATATCATTCACTGCTGAGCAGGTAGTTTTTCATTTCTATTGTATAACATTTGAATTATCCTGTAATAAATTATTACCTAGTCTTTTGGTTTTTTTTATTTGCTACCTCATCCTTTCAGTTGAACTTTCCAAAAGTCAGTCTTCCACCTTGAGTGGTTATATGAGCTGGTTTTACTCTAGCAACTCCAGACCCCTCCCCAGGCCCCATCTAGAGATGTCCCTTCTTCATGCTCCCCAGAATTCACATTTCTTTTTTCCTGGTTGCATGCCATCCTTGGCTTAGTGTTTATATCCCACTTGTAGAAGAGCATGTCGTCCATTATGAGGTAAAGTTGTTCATTTACATGTTTGAAGGAGTTTTGTCCTTATATTTGATTGGCTGGTTAAACTTTAAGATAAAGTAACCTTTGGTTTCCAATGATGTTGAGAAACCAGATACCATCTTATTTGTAGTCCTGTGATTATAACTTTTCCTTCTTAGGGCTATTTCAACACAGGTTCAGTATCCCTTAAAATTTAGAACTGGAGGCGTGACACAGGTGATAGAGTGCCTGCCTAGCATGCATGAGGTCTTGAATTTGAGGCTCTGAGTTCAAACCTCAGTCACCAAAAATAAAAAATACTTGAATTTTTTCAGATTTTGGAGTATTTTCATATCCATAATGAGATGTATAACCAGCTAAAGTGGTGGGGGCAGGAGAGAAAAATTAATTGTGGTATCTTACCAGTACTTAGAAAGTTTCAGATTTTGTACATTTTTAGATTTTCTTATTGGGAATACTTAACGTGCTGTCTCTTCTTTATGTCTAGGGCTCTAAATTTTTAGAATAGTGTACTCTGATGTCAGCAGGCTCTTTCAGTATGGAAGCTCATGACCTTCAGTTCTTAGAAAAATTTCTATTCCTTCATTGGCTTTATTCCAGTTGTGAAGTAGTGCAGCAGTCTGAGTCAAAAGGATTCAGTGTGTATATTGTTGTCTTCTATGACATGCCTGTATTTTCTGTCTAGTTAAACATGTTTTTCCTATTTTTGCAACTCACCTTCCAGCTTTTCCACTGGATGTTTTATTTCAGCAATCATATTTTCAGTTTCCAAAAACTTTATTCTGATTGCACCCACCCCACTTTTTATAACATCTTATTCATGGTTGTAATGGCTTCTGTTCACTTGAAAGAAATTTGTGTGGGGTGTGTCTGGTGCTGGGACGGAACCCAGAGTCATGCTCATGCTAAGCCCTGCTCTACCACTGAGTTACAGCCACAGCCACAGCCCCAAAACTCAATTCAACTTTCAGGGGGTGAGGGTGAGGGAACACAAACAGTATACACATGTAGGTAAATGTAAAAAACGATAAAAGGAGAAACAAAGTTTTCTAATCCTTCTGCAGTTACTGTTTTCTCCAATTCTATGGTTTTGTCTGTCATTTACATTAGCAGCTTTCTTACAAGTCTGATAACTCATAAGTATTCATTCATATTCTAGAGTACACAGCCGTGCTTGCTGGAAGCTATGTATGAGTAGGCTGGATTTGACGTGTCCCAGCTGTCAGCATCTATAGGTCTTTTTTCTATGGTCCTATTTCTCCAGAAAAGTGTCTTATGCTATTTTAATAAGGAGGTATAAGTCATGCTGCTAGAGTTCTGGGAGCTGAATAGAAGAAGAAACCAAGGGGTTTTCAATTAGTCATTCTGTTTTTAGTCCTCAGCCTCCTCTGCTATGTCTGGTTTACCAAGTCCTGAGCCTCTGTAGTTCACCTTCTCAAATAAGAAATGCCTCATCTGCTCTAAGTGTGGGTGTAAGAATTTGAGAAATCTAAGTTTTCAATCTGCCTCCCTGGTTTCTATCCATACCTTCTGTAGTACGGTACCAGCAGGTCTTAAATGTTTACTGCTCTGTTGGCTTGCTTCTTGTCCATCTCTGCTCTGTACCTGATGATACCCAACTCTCCACCACTTAGTCAACTGTTGCTCTTCTATTTTCTGTCCTCACATTTTGTGACTCAGGCTATAGATATATGTAGTAGTTTGAAGATTAGGGTTGTGGTTTTATTTTCCATTTTCTTATTCTGGGCTGACTTCTGAGGGAAGGTTTTTCACTGAGCCATTTTCAAACCAGATAATAGCTTTATAATCAGGAAAAAACAAGCTATTTTCAATTTTGAGGAAAAAATCAAGTTACACTACTCATTAAGAAATTTAGTAATGGAAACAGTTATAACTAAGGAAACAGTAGAATCACTGAAAGATATTCTAGGAGACATAGTTGCTTTTGGAGATGGGAAGCTGAGGAAGATTGAGATACAACCCTGGTAAAGGTTGTGAGAATGACATCAAGAACAGAGGAAAGCCAGTGCGGAGGCTCACACCTGTGACCCAAGCTATCAGGAGGCAGTAGTCAGGAGGAGTGTGGTTCAAAGGCTGTGTCAGTTTACCTCTTAAAGCACTTGCCAGTATACATTTGTTTGAAATCCTCCTTTGGAAATGAATTCAAGAGTCTATAGTCGTTATATGACTATTGAAAATTTTAATGTTCTGGGATTAAGAAACTTAATTAGAATGTTGTGGCCAAGTGCCTATGGCTTATACCTGTAATCCTAGCTACTCAGGAGGCAGAGATCAGGAGGATTGAGGTTTGAAGCCAGCCCGAAGAAGGAGAAATAGTTCTAGAGACTCTACCTCAAAAATACCCAATAGAAAAAGGGTTAGCAGAGTGGTTCAAGTGGTAGACCACTTGCTTACCAAGCGTGAGGCCCTGAGTTTAAACCCTAGTTCCATCAAAAGAAAAAGAAAAAAAAATTGAGTAATTTTTCTCAGTCACAAAATTCACCTTTCATTGTAAAATATTTGAAATTAAAGAACCTCTTCCCTCTATTCCTGGCTTAAATTTTATTTCACTTAAAAATACTTAAGTAAATTCTACTTATAACCAATTATCATTAGTTTTCATGAAACTCGGTGTTTTATATTGTGGTAAGTTCTAGTATGGCAAGGCAACTTCATAGGAAAGGCAATGTTCTATAGAAATTTACCTGCTTGTTTTCAAAGGATCAGGAATACAAAGTGGGGTTGGGGATAAATGCTGAATTTTTATCCAGTTCCATAAGAACTGCATGGACTAATGGTGACGTTGGCAAGTTACTGAAACGAGGTGACTAGACTGCATTGGGAATGCCGACTTGCTGTTCCTACTGCTCACTGGCAGTTGTTTATTTAATAAGTTATTATAGCATTTACAACTCAAAATTGTTATATTTTTGTCAATAGGAAAGGAAACAGGAGAAGGAAGTGAAGGAACAATCTAGGGCAGTAGTTCTCGGATGCCAGCTCATAGATTTGTAACTGTCGCTACAAAGAATTGACTAGTCTGTTGTAGAATAAGAAAAATAAGGTAAGGAGAGATAGGTGTGGGGTACACTTGAAGACTAGAAATTATTCACGTTCATGGATAATGTTACGACTGAGAGAGGAGGTTTGGCCTTTTGTGTCCACATTGAAAATGAGCTGTAGTACTATGAAATTATTCCTGTGTGGTAGAGCAGTTCATTTAAATGGGAATGAAACATTTTGACACAACCTTTAAACGCAGCCAGTACTCTCTTTTTCTAATTGGGACTTAATAGGTAAACTATAGAAGGTGAACAGAAAATAGCTAATGACTTGTTTTTTTCCCCTTAGATATGTCCAGAAAGTGCCCAGAAGAAACTTCCTGTCAGAAAAACTGAAAAAGCAGTATTTATAACACTGGAATTTATGGACAATTTGTCAAGATGGCAGAAAATAGTGAAAATAACAGTAAAAATGTAGATGTAAGACCCAAAACAAGTCGGAGTAGAAGTGCTGACAGAAAGGACGGTTATGTGTGGAGTGGAAAGAAGTTGTCTTGGTCAAAAAAGAGTGAGAGTTGCTCAGATGCTGAAACAGTGGATGCTATAGAGAAAACAGAAGTTCCTTTAAGGAGCCAAGAAAGGAAGCACAGCTGTTCATCCATTGAGTTGGACTTAGACCATTCCTGTGGGCATAGATTCTTAGGCCGATCTCTTAAACAGAAACTGCAAGATGCTGTGGGGCAATGTTTTCCAATAAAGAATTGCAGTAGTCGACACTCTTCGGGTCTTCCATCTAAAAGAAAAATTCATATCAGTGAGCTCATGTTAGATAAGTGTCCTTTCCCACCTCGATCAGATTTAGCCTTTAGGTGGCATTTTATTAAGCGACACACTGCTCCTATAAGTCCCAAATCAGATGAATGGGTAAGTACAGACTTATCTCAGAGTGAACTGAGGGATGGTCAGCTAAAGCAAAGAAGAAGCATGGAAGAAGACGTAAACAGTTTCTCACATACTAATGTTCAGCCTTGTGTTGTAACTACTAACAATGCTTCATGTAGAGGTGGTCCCATGACTGGCTCTGTGATGAACCTGGTTTCAAATAACAGTATAGAAGATAGTGATATGGATTCAGATGAGGAAATTATAACACTTTGCACAAGTTCCAGAAAAAGAAACAAACCCAAATGGGAAATGGATGATGAAGTCCTACAGTTGGAAACACCTCCTAAGTACCATACCCAGATTGATTATGTCCACTGTCTTGTACCAGACCTCCTTCAGATCAATAACAATCCATGTTACTGGGGAGTTATGGATAAATACGCAGCTGAAGCTCTACTAGAAGGAAAACCGGAGGGTACCTTCTTACTTCGAGACTCAGCACAGGAAGACTATCTATTCTCTGTTAGTTTTAGACGCTATAGTCGTTCTCTTCATGCCAGAATTGAACAATGGAATCATAACTTTAGCTTTGATGCACATGATCCTTGTGTCTTCCATTCTCCTGACATTACTGGGCTCCTGGAGCATTACAAGGACCCAAGTGCCTGTATGTTCTTTGAACCACTTTTATCTACTCCCTTAATTCGGACTTTTCCCTTTTCCCTGCAGCATATCTGCAGAACAGTTATTTGTAATTGTACCACTTACGATGGCATTGATGCCCTTCCAATTCCTCCTTCTATGAAATTGTATCTGAAGGAATATCATTACAAATCGAAAGTTAGAGTACTCAGGATTGATGCACCAGAACAACAATGCTAAGAAAAGGGTAGGAATATATTAATAACTACATATATATTTTCATTTAATGTTTGAATTTTCTTATGCCTCTTTGAATTTTTGTACAAAGGCAGTTGGAATCCAAAATGAACCTCTGCCCTAAGTTTTTCTTCCAGATCAGTTTATTTTTCTTATGATACACTTAATTGTTTAAGATTATAAATGAGAAGTTAATAGATATTTTTAACCACGTGTTTGTTTGGTTTTTGTTTTTATCATGTAGATTGGATACTTGTTTGCCTTTGTGTATGATTCAGGCATATTTGAAATTTGGTAGGCATTCCAACTACACTTGAATATTTTGTATTTTTCTTTAAAAATAACCTTATATTCTTTCCTACATGTAAAATGTTTTGTTAATCAATGCCATCAGTATCCTATACAAAAAATATAGTTTCTCCATCCCCTTTTCACTCAGTTTTAAAGTCCTTCAGTAAAGATGAGTGTTGTAACTCATCCCTACTAATGTAATCGACTTTTATCATTTACTAGTAGGAATGTTAAAGTAACAAAATAGTTGAAAGTCAGAATTTGTTTTTTTATTAACCTGGTCAATGAGAATCCAATGAAAACATGACTTCATGGAGGTTCATTTGTTCTGAAATGTGGCAAGGTCATTTGTTATTCTTGAATAGATGTTTCTCAACCTAGAAGAGTTATACCGTCGTCCAAACATAAATTTTGTTCCTTTCTTGTGAAGCTTTAGAAATAATGACAGCAGTATTAGTAGCTAGTAGTTACTAAAGCAACTATGGTTTTTCTGTATTTTATGAATAGCTGCATCAACTTAGCCCTTTTATAGAAACTCTGAGTCTGTTACTTTGGGTGAAATTTTGCAGTTTATTATAAACAACCACAGATTTCCACTGGTAATCAAGAGTCCCTAAGTAGTGTCTCATTATTTTAAATTGAACTTGAATAAAAATTCAAGAAATAGACCCTTAGAGCTCAATATTTGGGAAGCTTAATACTGTTTTTTGATCTTCAAGTTCCAAATATTCCTGTCTTCAGAATTAGCATATTTTAATGTGGCTGCAAAAATAGAAGTCATTTTGACAGCTACATGTGCATAACATACAGAATAGTAGGGCAGAATAATAGCATTTCAAATTTACTGCTAAGAACAGGACAGCATTTCCAGAAACATCATTAGCCACTGTAGCTAAAAAAGAGAAGTGGAATGATACCCTCTTTTTTTTTTTTTAAAGAACCATGATTAATCTAGACAGATTAACCAGTTTTTCTTCTGGTGAGCTGTCTACCCCTTTGTACAACTGGCATTTTTAATATGGTTATTGAGGTTTTGTTTGTTCGTTTTTGAGACAGGGTCTCACTAAGTAGCTCAACCTGGCCTCATACTTGGTCTTTAGCTGAGGCTGGTCTCAAACTTCCAATCCTCTGCCTCCCAAATGCTGGTATTAATGGTGTGTACCACCACCCCCAGCTAGTAAATGATTTCCTGATGCTAGTTTAGCTGAATTAGGAAACTTGTTTCTACCTGGATTGAAAGAACTGTGACTCATAAATTTCCAAGTTAAGACAAGTGTTTCTTAATTATTGTTGCTTTGAGTTTCATTTCCTTATCTGTAGTTCTGTTAACATAAAAGATGACATTTTCAAATAAATTTTTAGCAGATAATCAAGCAGGGAAATAAATGTTACCATTATCTTCTAGCATTTTTTCTCTGTGGTCTCAAGATTGCCTTAGACTCCATGAGGGGTAGCTATTAAAGTGGTACCTCTTATAGCAGTGATGAGGCCCAGGAAATCATAACACCAACCTTTTACAAAGGTAGGAAAGTCTCACACTACCTCATCTTCATTGTGGCACTTTTGCAGATCACTGAGATATCATCTTGTTAGCCAGTATAACACTTCCTAAATACCCATATGGAGAAAGAAAAATAATAGTGTGGTAACGCCTACCCATGATTATAGTTTTTATCAGAATTTGATAAGACTTTCTGTTTCTGTGAAACAATTATTTTAAATATTTTTCTTTTAAAAAATAACTTTTTATCAGTGCAGAAATACCTAAGGAATGACCAGCTTAGGAATATTCTGTTAAGGGGTAGTTTTATAAAGAAAAATAAAATGCAGTTATGTTGTCTTTTATAGTGATAAAAATTAGTGTTTATATGAAAGTCAAGATCTAAGTAGCTTTTCATGTAATTCAGACTGATTGCTTGTGCTATATTTTCTCTGGCTTTTTTTTTTTTTTTCAGTTTCAAGGTATTAACAGCTGTTAACATTTTCAATATACTGCCAGATGTGTAGCCTTGAACAGGGAAGAGACTTACTATGAAATCACTTGTATTTTTCCTTTGGTATTTACTGCAATGAAAAGAAGTTTGGAAAGTGGAAATACAAAGACTCGAGAAGGGAATTATTTATCATGAAGGAAAAAGAAAAGAGTAATTTTTTTAAACAGTAAGGGTTTGGAATTTAGATAGGTTGGTTACTTTCCTCCTTTCTCTGTTTTTGTGAGGATATACTTAGAAGAACATCAGTATTCAAATCTGACTCATAAGAAAGTGTTTAAAATATACTTCTTGGACTGTCTAATTAAAATGAGTAAGTTTTGAGAGGAAAAATTTAAGGAGATAAAAATATATCTAAATAGGAATTTTGTTATTCTTAAGTTGAACATGAACATTTGAAAAGTGTAAATTCCAAATAGAGAAAGTATTCAGCATGGTGGAAATGGGTAGCGATTATTGGTTAGAGAGGATGATGCTAAAAGAAACTATCAAGATAAAATATTAAAATTAAGAATCTAGGCAATAAATACCTCAGGAACAAGCCTTGACAGTGAAAGGGAACTACTTAATCGCTAACAGCTGGTCTGAACCAGACACATTTCACTGCTTTGGGAATCACCCTGCACTAATCAGGAAATAACTTTGACTTTTCTAGTTTTTTTTCTGAGGCTTTTCCAGATATACCCCTTCCCACTCCCTTTTTTTAAGCCTACAACATCTTGATTCATGCTGTAATTCCTGAAATATGCTAAATGGATCTTCTTAGGTTCCTTGAGCATTTTTGTAGGAAGAATCTTTCTATAATGTCATTCACCTAAATAATTCATGAAGGGAATGGTTTAATTTAAAGGAAGACCTAATAGGAAGATTAAAAGAAGCTTTTAGTCAGCCTGTGGCTAGATTTATTGATTTGGTGATCAAACCTGTGTTCTTTCCTGAATTCCAGCTAATGGCTAACTGTGGTCAAAGAGTAGCTTTCAGTTAAAGTTTTGACTTATAAATAATATAAAGAATGTCTTAGTAATTAGAAATCCTTTGAAAAGTAGAACAAATGTGGCAAATAGGACTCACCATTATACAAACTGCTTTTCTTTTTATAAGAAAAATATATAAGCCTTTATCATTTATTCATGAGCCAAAGCCATTAAGAAGATAAAACAAGTTACTAACTTCCTGTTGGGATCATTTTATAGATCCACGCAATAGAGCACTTCCTTCCTATGAAACAAAAACCTTGAGATCTAACTTTTCATTAAAAAGGTTTCTTGTCACTTTTCACTATAATCAGAATCCAATAAACAGCTTTTATGTTGATTTTAGTGGAGCAAATTTCACAGAAATATAGACGTAATTATAAGACATTCCTGGACACAAAACAATGTTTGAATGTAAAATAGCGTATGTAATGTGAGGTAATTTAATGCCCAAATGAATGAATGATTTTAAGTTAAGGAATTTTTTTGTTTCTACTTTGGGAGAAAATTTTGTGCAATTTTTGTTTAAACATAATCAGGTTTTCATTCATTTTTATTTATAAGGAATGAACAGAAAGCACAAAAGGTTTTCATTATTAGTAGCCTGGAGTGTCTACATAAACTATTCTAATATATTAAAACATTGGACACAAAATGGAGGTAACTTTAAAATAGACTGGCTTGTAAGTAGAAAAGTAGACTAATGGTTGAAGTCCAGTGGAAAGGGATTAAGAGCATATAAATCTTAACTCAAGGCTGAAGTCTATTGTTAATTTACTTTCTAATTTTGAATAGATTACTCAATCCTAAATCTTCCTTTCCCTTCATTTCCTGTAAAATATAGGTAATTACACTTGTCACATGGTTTCCTGAAGGTTAAACTTCAGTTGAGAATGGTGACCCTTGGAACATACTTGAAAATAATTGCTATACAGCCGTAAGTGCTAATTTAGTGATGATAGGTTTTCAAAATGTCGTGTTATTGCACCCTGCAGAATCACAGTCACTTCTTTTAGTCTGTAATGGGCTTTGTTGGCTTAATTTGACAACAGAAATAACAGTACAATTTGAATTTATGGTTTAGACTCTGCAATTAGATGAACAATTGCAATTTCCTCCTGCCTTTCATAAGGTCTGTGTGAAATTAATGTTTGCCTAATTTATTTAAAAAAGTTGATTCCATTTGCGGGAAATTAAGATAATCACTCTGCCATGGTTATAATCAAATCTAAGCTTTCAGACTTGAGAGCCATGGTGTAAAACTCAAAGAAGTTTACTCAAATTATGCTGACTGCTAGAATTGTAGGTTCTGTTCAAGCCAACTATGAATGATATACTTGAACATAAGATTTAGCAAACTCACAAAGCTATTCTTGTCAAGAGTCTTAACCGATCAACCCCCATCCCAAAAAGGACTGTTTCCACATTTATTTCTCATCTAATGTTTCTTCTTGGTTGTGAGTCTAAATAATTTGATCTGAATAAATTTTCACTTCTTAATTAAATCTTCATATGTGAAATCCAAAGGCTTTGTGTTTTATTTTAAAATATACATCCTTAGCTCCCCACATGTTTAAAAAGGAGAAATTGAAAAATATTCTTACACATCTATTTAGAATACTTTTTTTTAAGATGTTTTTAGTATATATCAGTCTTCCAGAAGCATGGGATAAATTTTATTTGGGATAAAACAAGAAGGCTAAAGCAGAAGGAATCAGCAGATAGGGAAGCCTTTCTTCCACATTGCAAGTCTGATGCCTATGAGCAGCTGGAAGAATTGGGCAGTGCAGTTCTGAAAAGCTCTGGATTGGGGGGGGGTGAGGGTAGTTACCAAGCAAAGGTTGCCTGTAGACAAGTCCACTAGGACAGGAGAGAACTGGATCTAGCTCCTATGCTCAGTTACTGGCTGGCTGCATGGAAAATCTGGACTGTCCAGGCTAGGGTGATGC